CATATTATAGAATAATATTTTGATTTTACTATAATTAGGTATATATTAAAAATTGAGTAACAAAATAATTTTCATTAAATACGAGACATAATAATAATACTATTTTAAATATAATATTATTACATATGACCTCGTTTTAAGATATACTAAGAACACTTAAAAACTTACTCTTAAACACCTCCTCCCTCCCCAGAAAAAAATTGTATCTACGCCACTGAGTACTGTTATGTATCTAACCAGTATTATAAACACGGAAAACGTCAGATAGCATAGATTAGGAAAAATTTTAAGAACGTTTCGAACGTAATAATGCTCAGGAAAAATCGTAAGAACTGATTATTTTAGTTATGAACATACAAAATATTAAAATGTAGTACTTGTTGTGACCATAATGTTTTTTTTTTAAAAAAAACACTCAATTTACCGTCTGGAAAAGCGTTTACGGAAGAAAAATAACCTTAAGGAAAACCTAATTGTAATCTACTGATTCGAACAGGATATAAAAAATGTGTTCACTGTATGCATAAGTCGAAGTGAACATTATTCAACTTCGTTCGTCCGAATGCACACGTTGTCACGGACGGCGTTTAAATTCATCATACATATACACTTCACAATGTGTATGTTTTACGTATACATATATATACATTGCTTATCATGGCTTGAACACTGCAAGTCAAAATATTATAACACTATAATCAGTAGTTACCTACTACATTGATTTATTGTGGACTAGTTAAAGATAAATTTTTCTTCCCCTGTTTACCTTACCGTCAGCTCGGTCACTCCTCAACCACATAACTTAAATATATATAATATAACACACACACACACATTAGAGCCGTCATTGCTTCAACTCCGGAGTCATCTCGTTACGACTCCTCACCACCGCGTGTCGCCTTCAATACACACCGTTTCTCCGTTACCCTGCACACCGTTCCTCCGTCGTTTAAGTAGACCGGATTAGAAAGAAACAACAACGAACGAAAACCAAGACGACGATAAATGAATGAATAATAAATGCCCTTCTCGATTCCGCGTGTTCCGTCATCGACTGGAGAATCAAGGGATTTATATACATATATATGTATTGTGTTTAATAAAGCCGTGCGTCGTTTTCGGTAGTCCGGGGCGGGGGCATGGACTTGATGATGAAGAGATGTACGCAGGTATACACAACTTTTTGGGGTAGAGTCGGGTATTTCAGCTCTGCTATCGCATTTGGGAGTAATACGGAAAACGATCCGTCGCCGCTGCCAACAACGACGACGACCTTATTTGCCATCAACGACGTCTTTAATCGGCTTATATACTCGTTGAACACTCGGCAAAGAAATTTGATATACCCGACTCGCTGCAGTTTACGCGGTAATTTCGAACCGTGTTTTTATTATTGTTGTTATTATTATTATTTTCTCCCTTCCTGAGATCGAGCTATTAGTACTAGGTTATCCAGTAACAGATGATGTTGTTTTGACATTCATTTTTAATTTTTATTTCCCGTCTTAGGTATATGTTGCTCGAAAAAAATATACCATCGGTTTCAGACAACTTTCAAACGTATAACCGTAAATCGATTGTTGCGCGAATCATTTTTGTATTTCGAAAACAATCAATGAGATAACATCAATATTATGTGCGCCATTGACAGTGTCGAATTACCCATTAGGTGGAGTAGGTGCCCGCCTTAGAGCTTCACTCATTTAAGGGGCCCTGTGAATAAGGAAAACTATATTTTTTTTTTATTTAATAATACATGTATTTTATTTATGAATTTACGGAACCAAAGTCATTATGAAATATAATATATATATTAAGTTGTAAGCGTTATAGGTAGTAATAATAATGCAATCATTTTGAAAAAAATAGAAATAATATAATAATTTATTGATTTTTCTTGCAAATAAAAAAAATCAATAAACACGATTTTGTGTATAAATAATAGTTGGTTATTATTAAAGCTGTTTATTTTTATTATTGGATAGAAATTTTATGCAAAAAATTATTTTATAGGGCTCAACATTTTAATTGCCTAGAAGTCCACAAATGTTTAATCAGGCACTGGCCATTGATTATTGTGAAGTCTAGTGGAATTTAAACGTCTCGGCATACGTAGTCTTTTAAACTCTGCACATTCAGAATTTTCTAGTAGTTTTAAAAACTTATTTCTTTTTAAAATTTTTCATAATATTTTAATTGCTATGAAAAAAATTACTACAGTAATGAAAAGACTAAACTTTTTCTCTCTAATTTATACATTATAAAGAAAGTTTTCATTTTTTTATCTCAAGTAATGTGTTCAGATAAAATAGCCAGTCAGTTATATCTATGTTATAAATAAAATTTTGATTTTTTTTGTTACCAACATAATGTTTTTTACTAAAGAATAATTGAAACTTAAATATATCTTGTAAACAATACGCATTACTACATTGTATTTTTTTCATTGAAGTAAATTTTACTTCACTATTTAGTTCGTTGTTATATTTTTTGGAATTCTGAGATTAATTACAACTTACACAATATTATAAGACTGAAATTTAAATTAATTACAACTAAGGCGAGTACCTAACAAATTTATTCTTTGAATTTGTTAGAAATTTCCTAGGTTTTATGGCTGCATTTTTATTATCGAATAGACAAAATAAAAAATTATTTACATTTAGCATCCTATTGGATCGACAATCTAACACGAAAAAATTCTTAAAAAAATAAATAAAAAATATTTCTTAGTAGCAAGTAAAATTTTTAGTATCAATATTTTTATCGATTTAATTACACCAATGTCTAATTTAAACATTTAAAAATGTGTAAAAAAAATATATACATATATTCGATGCATCCACAATATACATGACTGCGATTCACTATGATAATTATAATACATGCCTCCAGTGGTCTACATGAGTTTCTAGTCAGTTAAGATTCCTTAAATATCTTATGGAGTGCTTATAATTTAGAACATTTTCTTATCTTTAAGATTAAGATTTTTTACACACATAGTAAAATAATATTAGAATTTTTGTCATTTGAATGATTAGCACCCTTTTTCCATGACAAATAAATATCATTAATAATTATAATATGTCTCACAACAGAATCATGTTCGAAAAGCGAAATGAAAAAAATAAAATTACAATTGCAGTACCTATCTGATTATTTTAATAACTATTATTTAATAAGCCATTTTAAATTATTAAGTATAAAGTATAAAGTAAACCTGTACAAAAACATCGACTATTATTTACTCAAAACGAATATATTAATATTTTATCTTATTTTAACTAATACGTCTCATAATAAAAATTATTGACGAAATATAAAAAAAACAAAACAATAATAATAATAGCAATACTAACATTTTGATAGAAAATAATTTATCTTTTTTTTTAAAAAAACAACTAGTCCAATTACCAGGTGATTTTCGGAAGTAATTTGCACTAAAATTGAAGGAAAATTGGAAAAATAAAATTGGATTTATTTAGAATCCATTCATTCAAAATGTACTACTAAGTATAAAATGTTGTCATCATACAGAAAGAAAATACAATCTCTAAAAAAAAAATTAAAAATCAAATTGAAATAAAATACTATTTAAATATTCTAGAATTAAACTATTAGACGGCAACGTTTTAAGACTGTTCGATTATTAATACACAAATAAAATAGTCGTATATTTTTCTGTCTATTATTTGGAAAAAGTTACAGCAAAATAATATTTTTGTATCATTATAAGTAATTTGAAAGTATGAAAAATTAACGGTCATTTTTTTCTCACTAATGTTTAATGAGTTAGTAATTATTAATTTAATCTCATGTTATATAAAAGTCAATAATATCTATGTAGATTAATCTAAATATTTTTTATTATTAGATATTATATGAGTAGCAACGTATGAATAATTTTAAATTTACTTTTATGTTTTTTAAACCTACCCAACTTTATCTTAATAAAAACGAGTAACTATACAAAATTATAAGTTATAATTTAAAAAATTATATAACATTGTAACATACGAATAACTAAGTAACTATCACAACCAAATGTAAAAAGACCATGAATAAGGTTTGATAGTCAAAAGATCATATATATCATTTTTAGAACAAAAATACAAACATAATATGCTTAAAATATAATCATATATTATTATGTTATCAACGGTGCTAATTAATTCAAATGCCAATGAAAGTGGGCTACATTAGTTATAACTAGAGTTAGGATATTGATGACTTGCATTTTTTTCCCTTTGATTCTATACAATGCTATCTTAGCTAAATATTTGTTCCATGATCCCTTGATTCAGAATATTCTAATTTTACATTTTTTTTTTTTTTTTTTGATTTTTAGGCATTTTCAACTATAAATGCATTTTTTGTTTTTTAACGTCATTTTTTAACTTTTTTAAGTCATTTTTTCATATTTTAGGTTATTTTTTGTAGTTTTTGATCAACGTGGGTAAATTTTACTCAAACTTTCGATTTTAAAGAAAATTTTTATAAGTCATTTAAAAATCATTTTTATCATTTTTATTTATATTTTACTTTTTAATTAATTTTTAATAATTTTATATAATGCTTAAAATGCAAATATATGCTATGGTTTATTAATTACTATTACTCCCATTATCACATCTATGTACAAATACTATGTACTCTAATACAAATTATTATTTATAAATCAATTTTTTTCACTTATTTAATTAGATTTTTTAGATTATTTTTAAGTTCATTTTTTGAAGTTTTTATGGCATTTCTTCATTTTTATAAGGCATTTTTGTGTATTTTTTAGGTTATCAACATCCTAACTCTAGTTATAACTAATGCAATTAATTCAAATTAAAAAAATTCAGTTTTTTTATCAACATTGTAGACTAATTTTAAACATAATTCTCGGCAGATAGTGAAGTTATTGATAATTTTTGGTCACGCAATTCATATTTTATTTCAATTAAGTACACATTAAGCACTTTTAGAAAAACATGAATATTTTAGTTACTTACTATAAAGTGTCTGAAGGGAATACGATTGACAGCGTACTTCTCGACTATGCTAAGCCGTAACAGTTATACCTAAAATATTATTTTAGATTGATTAATTTTTTTAAGATTAATTAAATTTACATTCGAAAAGTTAATTTAACTTAAAATATATACCATGAATTTTAATATTAAGAGTAACAATAAAAAAAAAAATAGATGACAAGAAAATGTTTTGTGTCGAAAAAGATTTAAAAACATTAAAAAAAAATGAGATAATGTTAAATAATGAACATTTGAAAATTATAAATCAGAAAAAATTAAAAATGACTATCTAAATTAAAAATTAATATACCAATAAGATGGAAAATAAATTCAACTGTAATAAAATCTATAAAAAATTTTAATTTATTTCAATGATTAAAAACATTATAATATAACTTTATTATAATAGTAATTAAATTAAAATAGTTCGTGATGACAATGATATTTATGAAACAATATTTTATAGATATTTATGTAGGTATGAATTAGAAATATATTTCCAAGAATAATCAACCTTAAAACTTTTATATTATTTCTCACGAAACATTTTACACAAAATGACAACATTTTGCAAATACTGCTACTAATGTGTTTAAAAAAATACTGAGTTTCTAAAAAAAATTTGTAATACCTATATTTATTTTATGAACTGGAAAAAAAAACAGAAAATCGAAGAAAAAAATAATAAAATTTAATTACTAGTACATTTATACTTAATCCAAGATAATAAAGCAAAAAGTAACAATGTTATCAACATTTCAATTCAAATCACTACTAAGGAAAAATATGTTTTTACTGACACTTATCAGCAGAACACCATGTTATTTGTCAACATTGCGGAAGACATTGAAAATAATTGACAGCAAAGTTATTATATTCACGAATGTTATTTCAATCAGATTATACTGAAAAGGCATTTCCGTCGTTTTCGGCAATCAAAATTGTTAATGTTAGAATTTAAACGATATTGTGACCACAAATCGTAGTGAGTAAAAAAAAACGTGTACGCGGGAAACAGTCATCAAAGAAGATATAATAATACAGTGAGACTGTAGCACGTCATCAATAGTCGTTCATTTCAGAATTCATATTTATTCTTATAAATCATGTTTTTACGTACAATTACGAAAAAATTTTTTCTATTTTTTTCAGTCGGCAAAAAATCGAATTCACGCTCTTGGGCACGGCGTTTTAATAACGTCATAATGACGTTTCCAACACGAAATACACGAATGACCGATAAACCTCAGTTGACGAATCACAATGTTACAAGTTATTTTATTGTTATGCGGAAAACGACGTTTGAAGTTCAATTGCGTGAGGGAGGGGGAGATCACTGGCATCTACTGCTCTTGTCCGGGGTAAATCGCAATCGTAGCCGGACGAACGTTCGGCGTCCAATGTTGTCGCCGGGCACGACGACGTATACGAATGCGGCGAAAATGCGTGTTATCCAGATTTTGCGCACAAAAATTTAAATACAGCTAGTGCACGGCTATTTAACGTAACGCACGAACGCCGGAGCGAGTGATTTGAGCAACACGTTTTCGCGGGGCAAAAGTTTGTCGGTGCCCGCCAACCGGTATGAATGTTTGCGCGCGCGAAAATATTTAATTTTGATATAAATTGCGTTGTATTACCTCTCGTGCGTTGGACGTGTAGTCGCCGGTCGGAGTGAACGAGAAAAAAAAATACAAAAAAAAAGTGCACAAGCTTAACGGTCGCGCGTGTGCACGCGGTGATTTGCGACGGACGAATGTCGTCGGATGGCAATCGAGTTCGCAACCGTCCGACGGACGCGTGCGCGCGTTGGCCGTCGTGCGAAGCCCGTGCGTTCGCGTACGCGATGCTACGTGTGGGCGAACGAGCGCCGACGTGTGGGCGACCGTACACACGTGCGTGTGCGCGTGTGTGCGCGTGTACTACGTGGTGTTGCCGGATTCCGTTTCCGCAGTCGACTGTCGCCGTCGAGGTGGTGTCAGGTGGTGACTGTGTCACCGACGTGCTGGCTTGGCCGACCGGCGAATCGCCGAAAACGCCAGCGCGCGCCAAAAGACGATTGCGACCGCCCACGTAGAGGCGATGACGCCCACCGCGGGCGTCGAGTTTTCCGCAGACGTTTTCCGCGCCGCGCACGCTTTCCTCCCCTCGATCGCGCGCACGCACGCAACCCACCCGTTTCTGTCGGCGGCGAAAGTCTTGGAAATCAGTCGTTTGACGACAATAATGACTGTAATGTACACGAATCGAGTATTAAAATGATAACGCATGAGACCCCGCTATGATTTGTAGAACTTTAACAACAGAAATAATCATCGAACTTACATCCACCTCCTCCGTTCCAGGGGACTAGGGTCAGTAATCGTTTTCAAATTGTCAAATAAAGTTACCGATCGATGTCAACGCGGTCCTATGGATACGATGCGTGCTCGTGTATCGGCATCGCGCTCCTTGTCCGTACGCGCGTGGATATCGTTCCAATTTATCGTACCACCATGTGACTCTAAATCGACGGTCGTCGATTCCGCCGCATAATACGAAAAGTATTAGTAAATAACAATGGAACCGCGTCAATCACTGCACGTCAGTCACGCGTCATTTGCGTGAAAACCATAACATAACATAACGAATACCGGTCGAGTAACCGTTATCGATCAGAGACTGCTCTTGTCGTACGCTGTTATGCATTACAAATATTGTGTATAATATAATACAGGTTTATACTATTCTAACACACGTGTACCGCGTTATATAATACATGAAATAACGCAGTAACCAACATCACTACTATAAAAAAGCTCTTATGAGAGCCAACAGTACGTCAATACAATATGATATGATGAAGCAACATAAAAACAAGGGACAGCGAAGTGAGTTTTTCCGTCGATAAAATACAAGAAGATACCAATGGAAAACGTCATCAAGTGATAGCATAATATATAAGAAAAACACGAGTTTGTCTCACCACGACGGACTAACAAAGCCAATCCAAACTTAGAAGAGTACGGTCAAACCAGTATTGTCATCAATACGTTTTGATCGAACACCATTTCAACTAAAATCTTTAAACGATCAACATCTAGTCAAACGTTCAATGTACCAAAGGAATGAAAACAAGAAGACACCAGGCGTTCGAACTCTTCGGATCACTCCGCAACAAGTATGACGTCAACCTTATACCATACAACTTATCACAGCAAATCAAAGAACGAATATAAACATCAGTATCTAGCTTCAGACCAGCGATGTCGAGGACAGCCGAGAATCCTGCCTGTCACGGCCATAATTGATCGTGGCAAGTTCCACGACTCACTTAGCAACCAGCACCTCTCGGTGTGCTTATCACAGACGGATCTGCACTGATCTGCACTGATCTTCGATGCTGGTGCTTGACGCACCTTTAACAGTTCCGAATAGTGTGATCAAACAATCCGTAATCCAACATTTATGTAAACAACTGCGTACACACATTAGACAAAGTTTAGGGAACCCAGACGACGAGCGGTAATTTATGGAGACCATCCACGCAGTAATTAACAATAAATTTTCAGGCCAACCAAACATATTTTCCCCAAATGCATCAACTAAGGCCAATTTAACGGCCCTGATACGATTGAGCTTCCCACTCGTAATTTCAAATTTTATATAATAAGCTATACCTTTTTTTTTATGTAAATATACTCGTATGACAGGACCGTCATTCGTCAGACCTTCAAAACTGGTCGTACTCAATTACCGGTTCCCCTTAGATTGTGTACAATTATTAAAACATAAAAATGAACAACAAAAACAGCTTTTTATAAGCCAAATATCACGTTTAAATATCTTCGAAGCGGTTGCACATTATCAGAGTGTATGCCGTTTCAACGAATAATGTCAATATTAATTAACTTACTGGCTGAATTGCATCACTTCGCCCTGAAGAAATGTTTTACGAATTTAAACTAGAGCAGCAGTTTTCAACCTGTTAGTAATTACTTTCCAGGAGTAAAACGACATTTTTGAGGGATAATGACTAGACTAATTTTTATTTGATGTACTTTATACCTATTATTATAATTATTATTATTATTATTTTATTATGTTTACATAATTTAATATTTATACGGTTATCTTGATTATCCACATTTTTCTTTGAAACGAACTATGCACATATTTACAAACAAAAAATATAAAATTTTTCTTTTCTTTTTACATAATATATACATGAGTAACATCAGTTCTATGAAACTGCCTAATTTGATTCCGATAACCGATAACATGGCCTGGCACACATGCTTTTTTTTGAGAGAGGTAATAGCTAATATCTAACCCTATTTAAGGATAATATTCTGAAAAGGGTTGAGAACAGATAGACTAGAGTAATTACTATTTTGATAAAAAAAAAAATAAAAAAATGAAAGTTGAAAAAAAAATACCAAATCATCATCGTGTATTCTAATGTATATTTATTTACTTATGCTATGTTAATTTACATATACATCAATCAACGATTACTTACTAATCAACTTACTAATCAAAATAAAACATTTCCTAAATAACTTAAAATTAAAAAATTTGTTCATCTAGCCTAAACCCCATTATAGTTTCAACCTTCTTAAAAACAATTTCCAAAAAACGCCTTCTCATTACTCATATACATAGTAATAAGTACATTGCCTCAACATTTAAAATTAATCATTATAGAAGTTTTGGCTGAAAAATCAATAAATGAGAGGTATTTTAATTTTATCTAATTAAATACAACATTTTTATGTAGATAATGTACTGTACATTATGTACATAAATACTAAAGACACTAACAAATATACAGTATATTCCTTCTCTAGGACAAACGTTTAATATTTCTCAGCTGCAAATGCTAAACGAGCACTGAACAAAACTGCACATAGTGCTCGTTGCACATCTCGATTTTGACGTAATTTGAGATAAAATAATAAAACTAATAATAAATAATAATAATAAATAATATAATAATAGTGCACTACGATATATTTTCAATTATCAAAATCGGTTAGGTTAGGTTAGGTTAACTAACCTAGCCTAACCTATCGATACCGAAAAACAAAAGATATCGAATTACGAAATACGTTGTGCATCACTATCATATGACGTCGTGAAATCTGCATTCAAAATTACGTCATGGCGATCCTCATTATGTGGAACGTGAACCGTACATCGTGTCACATCTTTGTTATGCATTCGATTCCTGAGTGAAAAAAATGAAACACCGTTTATTTGTCTTCATTCTTTTATTTTTGTGAAGTTCGCGGATATTTAATTAAGAACTTCAGCGATACGCAAACTATATTTTACCACGTGGCATAACGGACGAGCATATTTTTTACGGCACTCGTTTAACTACGGCTGCTGTCGCTATTTCGACTTTATTACACCTCGACATCATCATTAACATCTTGCGCTTAAAACCAACCGTAAGTGTTGTACACATACACACAATACAAGTAGATCTTAGCCTACGCGCCTCAGCACTCTCACAACTATGGTAAGTTTTAATACCCGTTTCACAGCCACCCAACCAGCCACCACGTGCCACTCCATCTGTACCCGACGATTTACTCACAGACGCGATGAACGATAAAACAAACCTGTGCACGAAGCACAGGTAAACCATAACAGAACATCGAACACGTCGACTTTCACAAAGGTTTATCAGATTTTCCACATTTTCAGACTACGCGAGAATTGTCTTATTATTATTACGCTGTCTAATCATGTACGATCATTTTTGCCACAGCGCTTGTATCAAGGAATTTGAAAACGTTTTAGATGCAATATCCCGTTCCACTGGTGAGCATGTCGTTCGTCGTAGAAAAAGCAGCAGGGAGTGTTCACGCACAAACCATTGATTTTTTTCACTTGTATTTGGTGACCAGTATCGAGTAAAACTATAACTTTTATATATTACTATTATTATTATTATTATTATTTTTGTTACTACACTAAATATTAATTAGTTATTAGTCTGAATACGTTTTCATTGTATACTTTGTAAATGAGCAAACATCCGTTAATACATAAAATAAATAAATTAAATTAAATTAAATAAAAAACATTAATTATACTGTCACATATCCAACCGTCATATGCCAATTCCCAATCATATTATGTACACCATTGCTTTTAGAAGAATCTTGTCTCAAAAAATTGGTTTAGTAACGGAACAAAATTGCCCTCCTAAAATATTTGATGTTTCATACGCTATAATATTGATAATTCCGTCACGTTACTGTTTAACGGGTTGCGCACACGCACATCCGACGTATACGACGATGTTACGAAACAGCTTACGGCCTACACCACGACTGCATTATCCTGTGTATACAGTATAAATACACACAAGCGTCAACGTCGACTATTATCATAAATTATGTGATCGAAAAATGCAATAACCCAAAAACTGCAGACGACAACGAAGAAGACGTATGAAGAAGAAGAAGAAGAAGAAAAAGAAGAAGAAGAAGTAAGAAGTATGCCCGGTAGGTATCATAAACATTTTATGGCGAACATATACGTACATATATAGAATTCAAATTTAATACGCGTTCGAGGCTGTATCGCCACCAGCTCTCTGTTTAGAAATCGAGTATTCTTAATAAGCGCGTTGCCGTGTCGTTTGCACGGAAAACTAAAATCGGGACAGAAAATGTCCGTGGCATTAAGCCATAGATTTCTTCTGCCGGAACCGAGTTGAAATAAAAACGTGCGAAAAGGTCGAACAAAACTTTGCCCCGTCATCTCCCTTCCCCCTACACACACGTACGCACCGTCATCGTTTCAATACGTTTGTACCCGTGCCCGTTAATTACACATTAATTCTATTCATTTCGGCATCGGCAATGCGCACACTGTTCATTCGATCGTGTACGGTCGCATACAGTACACCTATACGCTGTTTAGTCACATTCATTTATTTATACGGTCATTATTCCGAGA